GAGACGGTTCCAGTGTCCGCTGATTCTCAAAGACCAATTACCTACACTGTAAACACGACTCCTTCCCCTGGGGGAAATCATAAAATAACCCTAAATGTACCACATGGTTGCTCCTGACTTAATCTAAGCAGAGACACTTCTCCAGGATATATCCTGATCCCAAAGGGCTAATGTGATTGTAATTTAGAGGTGTGTTAGTTCATCAAGTGAAATGCTACACTCTCAATGTACTGGGGGAAATGGCCTGGTGAGATGAATGGATGGTAGTAGAGAAGCATAAATGGAAATGTGTGACAGAGACACAGGGAAAATCCTGAGGATGAATTAGTTATAAGGCCATCTACATGTGGGACCAACGAGACATGAAATATTAACTTAGTGTCAGACACAGTGCAAGAGTTAAGGTTAATTTACAACCACCCCACATGGTCCTGAGATAGAACCACACATCCTGTTAAGACAATAATGAAGGAAATTTACATTGACGCCCAACACGTCATCTATGTAATGCACTGTAAATCTGTGAAGCTGTCGAAATCTGCACACAGATAAGATCCGCTGCAACATTCATCTCACCTACATGACTTTTACTGTACACGCCCAGTTTCAGAGAGCAGACGAATCATAGCGAGACATACAGTATGTTCCAAGGAAGTAAGAAATAATCCTCTCATTCAAAACTATTTTAGAAAAAAAAAGTACAGACTTGTGATCTTTTAAAGGACGGTCGTATAAGTGAATGAAAGAAGCTCATTGTAATCGCTAATAAAATATGCACAGGAGGTGAGAAATCACTTCACACCAAGGGTAATTGTAGCTTTGCTCAACACATGCTGAATTACCAGTGAGCCAGCACAGGGATCCGTCTCATCTTTACCATGGAAACCAACATCATACTAGAGTACATGCACACACACTGAGGGAGAAATTGCCATGGCATCCTGTACAGGCAACAAGAAGCGAGCAAACCAGTTTACTCAGCAGCTAATTGGACACTCAGTCATCCTTCTGTCTATCACTCCCCATTTTACTCTCTCTCCTTCTCCTCTCTTTTGACCTATCTTTTCTTTTGTCATGAGCCAGAAGAATTACCTTTTATCAGCAGAGGACAAGGTCTCGCAGCACTCAGTAGGAGAGGCTCTCGGTCGAGTGGTGACAGAGGAAAAGAAGCTCTGCAGGGATCCCGAGAGATGCTCAGGGATGCAGCTGAACCGGCATCGCAAGCACACATCCACCACCACTATCACTACCAGCGAGAGCAGCAGCAAATCGGAAGGGGAGGGGGAAAAATATAAAAAGGAAAAGAGAGGGGGTTGCTCTATCAGCAGCAGGAACATTACATCATAGCCTGCCTCTGTGGAAGGGTGGGAGAGGAGTGGACGGAGGAAGGGAGGTGCTCCTTGTAGCAGTGATCGCTCTGTCACTGCTGAGCTCTTTTCAGTGCATGCACCAATCCAAATTTAATATTTATGATCTGGTCACTGTAAAACAGTTACAGCCAGACCTATGGAATAATTAGATCAACTGGTCTTAACTGTGTCATCACTGGGTTTGTTGTCAGAATGAATATAATATGATTCACAGTATAATGTGGCTTTTCCCTTTGGGGCAAAGTCTGTGTGCGTGTCTAAGTGCATGTCCAGTGCATAGGAGCCTACACAATGTCTATTATGTGTAATAACTCAATTGCATGACCAGTTCTTGCCTCCCAGTGCTCACAATACACGTTGATTTTCAACCCTCTGACAAAGGTCATCTGAGCAGTTGAGTGGACAGGTACAGCTGTTAAGACTTTACATCTGCTCACAACAATTATATTGAAACTTGTCAAACTGCTGTGTGGATATACCAGTGCTTCAAACACATCAGTGGAGGCAGATTCTGACCATAACAGGACGGAAGTAATGGTCGCCTCTTACCAGCACTCAGCTGTTAACCACCTACGCACTGGAAAGCCACAGACCACTACCACCAACAATAATACTCACAGCAGCAGTTAGTCAACACCACATGATCTCAGTGCTTCCTAACAAATACAAACACACACCCACAATTTTATGTACATGCTGTCAAAAGGACACACATTCCTGAACCAGCCTGCACAAATACAAACAACAAAAAAGTGTTTTCTTTTTTTGGTATGGCCAGTTGTTTTTGTGAGCTCGGTGCAAAAAAAAAAAAAAAAAATCACTTTACTAGGTTGGACTTTCCCCACTGTGTTGTCACTGTAAAATTATATTCCTGTTGTTCCACTGAAATTCCCTTCATATTCTATTGTGGTCATTATAGTATGTAAATTTAAAAAAAGCACTAAACTTGCATATACTTCATTTATCTCCCACTTCTGAGATGTTTGGTTTAGTGTGCCTTTACTGTATGACCCACTCGTTTCTGTAATAAACCCACTGTGAGACAAGTGGAAACAAACTTAAGACAAATTTGTCTGTGGAGGACTCAAACCTTCAAACTTCTTGTTGTTGTTATTACTATAGCTACTACAAATGATCAATTCCTACTACACTGTACTGTATAATACATTCAGTGGCACAGCAGTCGGGATAAATAAATCACACCGTAATGCTCTATGTAAATGGACCGCAGCTGTGTTCTTGCACACAGCTCAACATCTGTTTCAACCCAACTATTAAATAGGTTAGACCAAAATGTTGCTTTTTTGTACACAACAAAAAAAATATAACAGTAGCAACAAATCAACCTTTGGTTCAAAAGACTGGAGAAAAAAAACAAAACAAAAAAAAACACCCAAATGAACAAAGACCATTTGCCAAAAGAGCCCACTGGAAATTTTCCCGTAGTTTAACCTTCTAAATTATTTAAATCTCCATTTTTATTTGTATCACCATAGTGTACTATAAAAATAGCAAGAGAAGTTAAAAAAAAAGTTGCATGCCTGTTAATGCCTTGTTTCTGTCGAGAGAATTGTTGTAATTCAAGAGAAGTTACTATGTCTGGATTATGCCAATTAAAATATAGGGATTCTCAATAACCTGCTTTGTTTAGGGTGTTGCAAATCTCTTCATTGGTACATATATTCTTGTTTGCCTATGTATGGAGGAGAAATTCTGATTAATTAATGCTGCTGTGGTTCGTCATGATGTCCGCTTTCCTGCTCTGGCTCGAACATGTCAGGTATAATTTGAGTTATTGTCTAAAATGTAACTTATTTGTCAGTGTTTTCATAGCTTCCTGACTGGTCTTGTGTTGAAAAGTGTTCCACTGTAGTGCCCCCCTCAGTGTTTGTGGTTAGGATTCAGGTTAGGGGAAACATCTTATCGGGGAAACAGATCGATAACGGTGGCAACAGGAGTTGTGCGTATTAAATGAACTATCCACTTGTTTTCAGGAGGTGGCTCTTGGGTTTTATTGTTCTGAAATAATTAGACTATTTGCGTTTATGATGGGTGCAAAGCTAATCTAGAGGTACCCAAGATTGAAAATTAAATGGCTGGAAATGAGCATGCCATGGACACTTTAAAAAACAGTTCTCACAAGCTTTGGCAGTCAAATCCACTGCAGTAATGTTTGTCCTGGAGGCCAGCAATGAGGGACCACAGAGACCTTTAATTTAAGGCTAGGATTAAAGAATGAGGCTTGGCTGTTATGTCCATTGACAACTTCCATCCACCATCCACCATCTGTAAACTGCACTTCATCATGGTCCTCACATTGAAGAAAAAAGTGACATCATGTGACATATTTCAGTTTTAAAAAAATGTTGTTTTACTCCATCACAGTGCAGTACACTCAGAACAGAGATCCACCATTATACTGTAACTTGCAGATGTGGCCTTCACAAGAACAGCAACAATATCATCTCAGTTACAATACACCCAAACAGAGGGAGATTATAAAGGACCACTGTATGTGCGGAAAAGACCCTAATAAGTGTGACAGTGCAGGCAGAAAATTCAGTGCAACTGTTCTTTTGTCCATCTCTCTCATTTTAAAATGGAGCAAAAAACATTCTTCACATGCCAAGTATTGTAGGTTGGCTGGTATGCAGGCTGTATTCAGATAGGGCTATGGGATTTCCAGTGTGTGTGACACTTTCCAGCGGATGATGCCCGAGGATGGACGGTATCCCAGAATGTAAACAGCACTTCAGATGGACCTGACCTTTGCTAACACAAATTGGCTGAACCACTTATGACCGCAGGGGACAACAGCCTTGAAATATTATTGCTGACACAGACCATCATTCTACTTTCCCAATGAAAAGCTTCTTTCCCAAGGAGCTGTTCTGTTTCACAGTTGCTTCATTGCCAAAAGGAAAAAGGAACAATGACAGCATTGAGAGATAAGGGACTGACCTTGACATGAGACCACATAAAATGCTAATTCTGTGGTTTCAAATAAAAATTGTAGAGGATATGCTGAATTTAAGCATTAGGCCTGTAACACAATCACATGTGAAACTTGCACAAACCAAATCTGAGCATCAGTTTAAAAAAAAAATAAAAGCCCAGATATGATAACACTTTGATTGATGCTCCCATTATAACATGTTCCTTATTTCTGAAAAGTCCAATCAGCAGATTAGCATATATGACTTTTATGCAGCTTCCTTAAGGTATTATCATGCTAACCACTGGCTAAACAGCTCAATGATCCATAACAATTACTAGCAATTACAATAAAGAAAAAATTGAATTTGCAATAATACATTCTTTTAAATTAGTAATTAAAAGGTCATATTGCAAAATGAATCAGTTTTAATTAAAATAATTTTACAACTTATAAAAATGTCTATAACCAGGCACACACACAGATTGTCAAAGGCCACAATCAATTTTCATAATCCAATTAAAAAATATTTGCCATGAAGGATTGTGTGTCAATGAATTATTCAGATTTAACATGTGCAGAAAGAGGTGTTCAGTTGTGTTACATGGTGTTAACTGATCACACTCAGCACATACCCAGGCCCTAGAGACTACTTCTGAATTTAAAGGATTGGCCATTGCCCTATGTAGCCCCTGAATAGTGACAGAAATAATCACCATGACGTACACTCTTGTATTACCATTGTCACTTTCAATAGAGGATCTACAAATGGCATTAGCATTATAGTACCAATGCTAATGGTTAATGTAAGACACTTAAAACTGAATTACTGTAAATGTTAATGTAATAATTATGAAGCAATGATCGGATCACAATGATTTTAAAAACCCTTCTGAGTTATTTTACTAGCCACTGATGATGCTAGCTGCGTTAGCAGGTGATTTTAAATCACTTAACATATGTAAACCTTCTGACCAGACTACAAGAATGAATGTAGGCCTATGTCAAATAGACCCTTAGCAGAGAGCTTCACTATTTGTCTCAAAGATTATCATTCCAGTGGCCTCTGTGAATCAACAACCTTTTAAGTAAACCTGTTGTGGTTCTTAATTCTAACCACATCCATGTGGACATCACCACATCACCCAGCTCACAACAATCCCACATATGCCTTGCATTTTACAAAGAGTTATCAAAAGGAGTGTCGATTCATAGTGGGAGAAAAGTACAAATTACAAAGGGTCATTGGATATGATGAATTTTTAAAAAATTTGCCCCAAGTTAAAGATATGGCTTTTTGTGATTTTCATTATTTTTGTGACCTTTGACCTTATTTAGCCAAAATCTAATCACTTTTAGGGCTGGTCCCCACCCATATTTGTACCAAGTACACTAATGATCCATCCAACCATTTGTCCATATTCCTGCTAACACACCTACCTACACACACACACACAGAATGAAAAACAACCTCCTTAGCGAAGGTAAAAAGCACTGACACTAAAATGTGAAGGATGTCTCCCCCCATACAGAAATTTCACCCATATATAAATGAACAGAACAGCAAATAGCTATGATGCTGCTCTGGAAACTCCTGATACTAGTCAAAAGCTACATGACTCAAATCAACTCAACCTTTATTTATATAGCACTTAAAAACAACTAAAGGTTGGCCTAAGTGCTTTACATACACCTGGTAAACATAATATAAAACCATAAATACAACAGTTAACATTAAACTGAATATGAGATGCATCAAGTAATAACATTGCACATTTGTGTTACAGCACCTGACTTGTTTTGGGACTGTCACCGCAGTGTCAGATTCTAGGTTACTGTGGCAACAAAGTGATTATATTCACCTCTCCATTCATGTCCCACTCTCGTCCCCCCGAGAAATACTTCTCTTGTCACCACACAAAGTTGACAAGGCAGGTATATTACATAAGGCATTGTTATGTAGATCTAAAGAAAGCTCAGAG